TCTTTGTGATAATTATCTAGTATGCCATTATCTGTTATGTTTGTGTGCTAGGATGCTTTGTGATACATGTTAGTAGTAGTAGTAGGGGTGAAATAGTCCCCGGATACCGGTTGAAAGATATCGAAGGGGTCGTCAGAACCCGTGCATGCCTAGCAGTATGTTATGTTATGTTATTATGTGGTAGTGGTAGGGGTGAAATAGTCCCCGGTTACCGGTTGAAATATACCGAAGGGCAGGTTATTCCCTGGTTACCGGTTGAAAGATATTGAAGGGGAGGTTAGCTCCCGGTTACCGGTTGAAAGATACCGAAGGGGAGGTTAGCTCCCGGTTACCGGTTGAAAGATACCGAAGGGGATGCCAGCTCCCGGATACCGGTTGAAAGATACCGAAGGGTTAGGTCGGGCACCCAGATATGCCTGACAATATATTTAGGTATGTTATGCTATGTTATTATGTGGTAGTGATAGGGGTGAAACAGTCCCCTAATACCGGTTGAAAGATACCAAAGGGCTAGGCCAACACCCGGATATGCTTGGCAGTATGTGTGTTGTATTGTATGTGGTATGATGGGGGAATTCACTAAGCTTCGTGCTTACGGTTTACAGTTTTGGTTTCAGGTACTTAGTTTTCAAAGGAAAGGAGTCGGCTCGATCGCAACGCATCACACTATGTTTTCCGCACATGAGATCTTTGGGATTACACTCTGATATTGTTTTATGATAACATTCTTTGACTATTGACACTTTGGTTTTGACATGGGATGTTTTATGGATATTTTTATACTGTTGGGTTTATAATAACCTAATTAAAAATGAAATTTTTGGTCTTGAATTTTGGGATGTTACAAGTTGGTATCAGAGCCTTGGTTTGAGGGATTCGGACACACTCTCGGGTGTGTCTGGACTCAAAATGAGGACTTGGTATGAAAATTTTCAAAAGAAAAATCATTTTATAAAAAGAATTTTGAAAATAATTTGAAAAGAGAAAAGAACTTTGAAAAGAACAAGGTGTGTGATGCGTGCAATCAGCCGAGCTCAAGTAAGCTTTCCCCAAGATACCCATACATGTTATGTTATGATATGATATGATATGATTATGAGAACTTCATGCTAGATTAAGGCTAAGGATCTAGGTAGGATGCCTTATATGCCTATTGTATGTGCTTGTAGACTTGCATGCTAGTACTGATCAGTCAGTGATAGGATAGCCTGTTTAGGTTATGCCTGATTGTATGAGCCTTTGAATTGCATGTATAGATTCCTGATTAGAGGATAGAATGGTTGATTGGAGTATGATGGTTAGATTTTCCATTGTCTGAATTTTGTTTGTTTTGTGTTTTGTGGGACTCTTAGTGATGTGAGTTAGCTACTAAGTGAATATGCTAAGTCACATGGGACACAGGCCGGATAATCTCATAGTAATGGACTTGACCTTATTGCATAGCTCTTATTTGAGTTCAACCGTTCTAGGGATGGGTCTTTTACTCGAAGGATTATCTAATCTCTGCTGCATGTGGCTATATTCATGAGGTAGCTAGTTGACATTCACTACTAGAAAAACAGCCTTTTACGATTCGCAATGTGTGTCGTAAAACCCTCAGACGACGCGCGGATGTGTTTTAAGGAAGGCCCTGTCATAACGAGAGAGACGACACGCTTTTGCGCGTCATCTATTTACGATGCACATTTACGACGCGCATTTATGACACACATTTACGACACGCAGTTATGACACGCAATGCGTATCAAGGAAGGCCCTGTCATAAAGGAAGACAACACGCATTTGTGTGTCGTAAACTTACGACGCGCGTGTTTATTACACGCAACGTGTGTCAAAGAAGCCCCTGTCATAAATGAAGATGATACGCATTTGCGTGTCATAAACTTCAGTAACCATTTACGATATGCATTTACGACGCATCTTTACGATACTCATTTATGCATAATACAAAAATATGTAAACAAATATATACCAAATCAATCAATTTCATCCAATAACATCATGTCAAAAAATTGTAATACAGTGATATTAAGGGGATCTAATTGTACATTGTTATTAAAAGGTTTTCCCTAACTATATAACCTAATACTACATTGCTATTAAGGGATACCTTCTGCAATGTAATGCTATATAAACTAAAAATATATACACAAAGATGATAAACATCAAATTCCAACTAAGTAGAGTTGTATCTTGCCTTTCATAATTCTTTAAGACTAATGAACCCCTGCTCCGATAATTCTTGTGACCTGATCAAATAAAAGTCAAAAATTAATATGCTAATACAATTATTAGAAGAATCAAACATGGAATGTCAGTTGTAAAAGACGAAATTATTCTTTTCTCCATCCAAAGAATGTGGGACCGCACTTGAGAGATGATATTTGATCAATTTGGTGTTCCGGGTTCCATTAAAACCTGCTCTGCATTGAAAATATTTGCATAAGTGTGTATCGATAGCAGATAACTTTGTAATATTCAACCATTAAATGTAACAAAGTTAATGTTTTTTACTATACTATGTAGCTCGTTATTTAAACAAGTAAAGAATGCTACAAAACATGGAAGAAACAGGGGGGCATGGCCCCAAAGGGCTCTGCCCCTATTTAAAACATAATTTCACTAAATTATTGAATGGAAGTGCCATTGTTGGTAGATTTTATTAGTTTCGTCCCTTAAGCAATATAACCTCTCAAAGATTAAAACACAATTTATGATGTTTAGCTTATCTTTTATAGAAACATCACAATATTGAATCAGAAGGCTAGAAAAATATCATATTCTTAGAATTTTGAATATCTATAACACCCTAGTAATTTCTTCACTGACAGAGTAATATAACCTCTCGATGATAAATTTTAAGAGGTAAGAAAGAAAACTGCAATTGACCACCATAATTCCTCCATACAGAACTACATCCATATCTTAAACTTGGTGCCCTTAAACTCCCTAACTGTATGTTACTACTAGCTTTATACTTATCAGTATCTGATGTTCAATTTGTTTTTGTTTAAAAAAGAAAAACAAAAAAAAAACAAAAAAAACAGAAAAACAAATCAAAACAAATAAAGAAAGATGAATGTTACTTCACATTGGAAATCTGGAATTGGAACTGTATCCTTAATCTATTCATGGTGTTATATTTTAATTTTGATGTAGATATCACTTCTTAAAAAATTAGCTAATTTATATAATTTGAAGTTTAAAACATGGGAAAACTGCAATAAAGTCTCTACATATTGACCTCATAATCGATTTAGTCTATATATATATTTTTATTCAATTAAGTCCCAAATATTGGTAATCGTATTCAATTTAACCATTTGACCCGGTCAACAGGTCATCCAACTTTCAAAAATTACATTTTTGGCCCAGATTTCAAAATTTATTACATATTTGGTCCAAAATTTACACTTTTGGCCCTGATTTTAAATTTTGTTACAAATTTGGTCCAAACTTTACCCTTTTTGCCCAAATTTTAGAATTTTATTATGAATTCATCCTAACTTTAGTTTTTTTTACAACTTTTTTTCTCAAAAAATTGTTTCTAATATGTTTTTTCTTTATAAAATCATATTTATACAAAAAAAAAAACGTATGTTCACATAAAAATCTTATATTTTCTATATAAAAACTTTTTTTTAAAAGTTTTTTGTATATGAAATATCTAGTTATAAAAATATGTATTTATTAAGTATATAAATATATACAAATCCGTTTTTATAAAAAAATGTATGTAAAAACGCATTTTACAAAAAAATGTATACAAACACCTATCACCTATATATATATATATATATATAATATATATATATATATATATATATATATATATATATATATATATATATATATATAAGTGTGTATGTATATTTTTTTTATAAAATCGTGTTTGTTTATATTTTTTTATAAAAACGTGTTTGAATAATTTTTTATATAATACGTGTTTGTATACATTTTATAAAATCGTGTTTGTATATATTTTATAAAATCGTGTTTGCATACATTTTATAAAATGTATACAAACACGTATTATATAAAAAACTATTCAAACACGTTTTTATAAAAAAAAATGTAAACAAACACGATTTTATAAAAAAAAATATAGATAAAATAGGTGTTTGTATACATTTTTTGTAAATACGTTTTTGTATATATTTTTTTTATAAAAACGGATTTGTATATATTTATATACTTAATAAATACCTATTTTTATAACCAGATATTTCATATACAAAAAACTTTTTTAAAAAAGTTTTTATATAGAAAATATAAGATTTTTATGTGAAAATACATTTTTTTTTGTATAAATATGATTTTATAAAGAAAAAACATATTAGAAACAATTCTTTGAGAAAAAAAGTTGTAAAAAAACTAAAATTAGGATGAATTCATAATAAGATTCTAAAATTTGGACAAAAGGGTAAAGTTTGGAGCAAATTTGTAACAAAATTTAAAATCTGGGCCAAAAGTGTAAATTTTGGACCAAATTTATAATAAATTTTGAAATCTGGGCGAAAAATGTCATTTTTTAAAGTGGGATGACCTGTTGACCGGGTCAAAGGGCTAAATTGAATACGATTACCGGTATTTGAGACTTAATTGAATAAAAAATATATATAGAGACTAAATCGATTATGAGGCCAATATGTATGGACTTTATTGCAGTTTTCCATTAAAATATTTGGAAAACAATAAAATTTCATTGATAACGAGAGAAAACCAACCGTGCGTACATCGACTTATATGCACAAACGTTGAAATAAGTAATTTATCAGATTTGGAAAAAGTTTTATTTCTACTGTAAATAATTAAATTAGGTAGATGTTAACTTCAAATATTTGCTTAGTTTGGACTAAAAAATTAGCGGTGCATATTATAAGTAACCTAAAAATAAAAAGCTCAAAGTAAAAATAATATATCATTTATGTCATTCAATACAAAAGATATAAAACATAACGTAATGATAGTAAATAAAAAGCATATATTTTATACTTAAATCATTCATGGTAGTTGATAAATAACAAATCAACAATCCAAAATACAACTTTGTAGGCTAAGGGTGTCATGAAAGTCAATGGGACAGATTTGGTTCCTAACACTCGTAACACTCTAGCATGGACCCTAAATTTTACACATATTAACATGCACAAACAGTTGAAAGATCATATTTTTAGGAGGTTTATTTTGCAATAGTTTGGTAATAAGTAGGCTAAAAAAGCCCATTTTGCCCTTGGAATGCCTAAACAGAAATAGCAAACGACACAGTAACAGCAACAACAAAGTTCTGAACAACTATACATTCTTGCATTAGAAATAATTAAAAGTAGGATGATATTTTACAAGAATGGATGCCATATAAGATACGTAAGCATAGGAAGAAAAAATTGATTCGGTAATGGACAAGTCATCGAAAAAGCAGATTGGCATTACATCGAACATATGGTGGACATATATCAAATGGTCTTATTAGACTGTGTTTTACAGAAATAAGAAACAAAATTGATAACATATAAAAGTATATACCTGATGATTTTCAACTTTGTGGTGCAATTGTCTACTCGAAAATACATAGGGGTATTACACCCACCTTCTTTTTTAGTAGCCAAGATGCGATAATAATCTGCAGTGGTGAATTCCAGGTCATCTGTTTCCTCTGTCCAAATGATAAAGAACATGTTCATGTGAAATCATAAAGCTAACTGTGAAATCAAATGATGACTTATTACTTCTTAGTTACAGGGGAAGTGAACTTCCTACCACTGCCAGAGACATCATTTGATAGGGTTGGATTCCTTGAGGGTCCTACTAGTAGTTCTCCTCTGTGTAAATTAATGGTGAATTATTCAAATACACAAAAATAGTAAAAGTTAAATGAAATGGAACATTAAATATATATGATGGTTTACTTACCTGAAGTCAACCGTTGCATAGGGTTGGATTCCTATATGCTTGCACATATGCACTAAACGAGGCCTAATCAACAATAGATCCGGGTTAAAAAAGAAAACATTGATATATTATAAATATATAATCATATACAAGAAAAGTTGAAAACTCAACCTGCTATTATTATCAAGTGTAAGTTCATCATTGAATAACTTTGCAAATCCCAATATTTCCTCATTGGAAACAACAACACCTGTTCTGGCCTGTATCATCACATTGCAAATTTGTAAACAAACAAGCATACTTTGGAAGTGGTTATTACTACTTAATAAAAATCCTCCATAAAGAGAAAAAACTTTGAAGAGTTTTAGAAGACTAGGTCTAGGTAGTTGATTCAATTAAGATATCTGTTCTTTCATCTTGTCCTGAAAAGTAAAAGGTAGCATATTGGGGAATACTTTCAAGAATACCACAAGCTTTCTAGCATCACAGATTGAAGCTAACATGGCAAGATGAGCACCAACATGAGCTGTGTTTGCTGCATTTTCATACAAGCCTTTGAAGACCTATAACATAGTTGAGTGTAATGTTAAAAACTGTTTGTTAAGAAAGATGAACCTCAAAAAATAAAATAGAAATAGAATACTAAAATACCTTCTGAGCAACAGCCAATGTAGCCTCATCACGAATAATGCATCTAAGAATGACCACCGGAACCTCGCCGATAACAGACTAAAAACAAGCATTCTTTTAATAAAAAGTCACAAAAAACAATGTTTAATCAAGCATATTAAGATGATTAAACATTACCGGACATGACAACAGAGAAGTCCTGATCATAAAATAAGAATACACAATACACAATAACACCATGCATTATGCACACTTTGAACCACAACCTTCTGATGAACTTGAAGAACTGTTTTGTTCTTTCATTCTGAACCCTTCTCTGAGGCGAATCATAGTTCTTTGTAAGGCGTCTCTTCTTGCTGCTAAAGGGTTTGTGACTAACAGGTGGTAAGTCACGGCTGCACCAAGTAAGACGGACCCCACAACAGCATAACTTATAAAGTGTCCAAGATACCTATGCATATAAAGAATACTCAAAAGTTCAAGAAACAAAGGTAAAAGGTGTGTGTATGTATAAATATTAGAGGAATAGATAATTAGAAAAATACCAGTAATGAACTCCAAAGCATGTCAGGAAGACGCGAGAAGCACCAGCAACAAACAGAGCAATGACACGGCTTAATTTGAAGAAGCTCAGACCCATATAAACAGGTACCCACGTTCCAATTTGGGAAATTGGATTTATGGTGCCAAAAAAGTAGAGAGAAAATCAAGATATTAAGGAAGATAGGGAATTAGGAATAGCATTATATATATACCAAGAATTATAACAGCAGCTGATGTGATAGCTCCAAGCCAATTTGACTCCTTTGTTGTTAAGCCAAACAATATAGAAAGATTGTGAAAAGACCATGTAAATGTATGAATAGATGCTATTTTTATAAGAAAGACCGAAAAAGGAACAAAGGGTACTTGCCTTTTAGATTGTCTAGGATATAAGTCATTTGGATCTGGTGGTTCTGGTAAACATACAACTGGTCCCACTTGAATACAGTCAGAATAAGAAATTTTGTATGCAGTTGAACCAGCTGTAACCTAAACTGCACATAGTTCATATGCACAGAGGAGTGCTACAGCTAGAAGAAGAAGAACTGCAACAACTCCTATTCATGAAACAAACATTAATTTGTACCCTTTAGTATCTTTTATGTTGGTGATTTTGTATCATCAATGTGTATTTAAGTGTAATGGATTGACTTGTTGACCAAATTCAATCTTGATGAATATTAAACAAGTAAGGAAGGTGCGGAGTGCACATTTGTTTAAATTTATTTAAGATTCAAAGTAGACTGTCATTTAGGGGCAAAGCCCCTAAACGAACGGGGGTCCGGGGGCAGCGCCCCTGGGAGCGGGGTCCAAGGGGCGGCAACCCCTGGAGGGGTCCAAGGGGCAGAGCCCCTGGCTGCGGTCGAGCTGCCCCCGGAAATGAACCCGATTTTTGACTTCATTTTGACCTTTTGTTAAAATCCGTTTTTGTGACTGTTATTGGTTTTGACAGTTGGAGTAGTTTTTGGACAAAGAAAACTGCCTTGACAGTTTTCAGACAAATGAACTACTTAATCTTTTGGTCATCATTTTTCTGGGTACAGAAACAATCACGAAATTCATACCATCCATATTTTCAGTTCTTGATCTCAATTCTGAGTCTTATCCGATTAAAGATTGGGAGTACCACCCAAATAATTTAATCTGAAAATGTGAAAGCACAATTCTCAGAATTTCCAAGGCTATTTTATCCCTAAATTTATTACATTTTAGAAATGCATGATATATATATATATATATATATATATATATATATATATATATATATATATATATAAGATGTTGTAAACTGAAAGAAAAATGGATATGCGATATTTGGATCATACTTGAGCTTGCCACTGTGTTCGCCACCAGAGCATTATGATAAATATATTACAACTTTGTCATAACACCAAAAAGATTATAAAATAGAAAAAGGTATATAAATCAGTATCACTTGAAATCTGTAACATATGAAAACTCAAATGCTGAGGAACATGAGATACAAACAACAATTTCATCTGAGAAGATGATTTCATCTAGCCATGAGGAACCAACCTAAGAATCTCGCTCATCAGAGGAGAGATCTTATTCAGAACCTCAAAAAGTTATGCAAGATTTATCTGGTCAATCTTTAGATAATGTTTCAGAAGAAGAATCCGCTTGAACATAATTACACTCTTTGTACTTCAGAGTTTTGGGAATCTGCTTGAACATAAAATGTTTTATGATCTTATGCAGTGGAACCACAACTGATGAGCTGGTTTTTGAGAAAGAAAGAGGGAATATTCCTACCCAATCAAAATATTTCAAGAAACAAAATGGAAGTGAATCTGAAAAGCAGCATGTATCAGTCTCTTCAACAAAACTCGTCTCTGTTGAAAATAAAAGAATGAGCACCTTACCAAATAATCCTGCACCTGGAAAAATGTGAGACTTTCATTTAATACAAGTAGCTTTATCAAATATTTTGAAGAAGAAAATCTCATTCCCATTTGTAATACTTTTGCAGGGAGTTTAGTTCTAAAAGCATAGAGTCTGGTAGCAAGTTTGCTGGTATATCATTATCAAGCCCACTTAATTTCATGGTCTCGTGACCAAAAACCCCTTCGATTTCACTAAGAACCGAAAGCCTAGTTCCAGTAATAATAAACTACTAATTTTGAAACAAAAATCCTTAGAGCAAGAGTAAGGGGTGTACTTCGAGGAGTGGAAGAGACGGAAGAGGAAGGCGAAGGCGGATATTGGGACGACAGGTGAATGCTCTCGGCATCACCGTAAATCTAATTCACATACTTGTTGAAGAAGTAGAGAACATTGGACCACCGTTCGCAGGAAGTGAAAGGGTAGAAAGGCGATGAAAGCACCTGCTATTGACGATGACAGATTGAGAAAACTCAATCAATCATGAGATGAAGGCATCAAGATTGTCGATGATCGTAACCTTAGATCTTTGATTGAGAAGTTGCACAACGATGTGAGGAGAATGAAAGATGCGTCAAAATGCTTAGGGCAAAGAGGGTAGCGGGATTTTCTAATTTTTTCGCTTTTCTTTTCCAGTTTGTAACTAAGGATTAAAATTATAAAGTGACACTTATAGAGGAAGCGCATTTAAGATACAGTGCCCTCCGTATTTTTAATTTTTTTTTCTTATGACACTAATTTAAGGGCACGCAATAATGCGTGACCTAAATCCTTAAATTTTCTAAAGAGATCATACTTTTTTAATGTCACTCTCGTTTGCGTAATATAGATCAATGAGTGTCGTGGTTTGTGCGTCGTAAAAGGTTGTTTTTCTAGTAGTGATTACTGGGAATCTTTCAGCAGCTGAGGACTGGGTGGGTTCGAGAACCTAGGAAAGCCTAAGATATGTTCGGTGGGTTAGTAGTGAGGTTTAGTGAGACTTGGATGTATTAGTTTGAGGAAGTGACTTAGAGGATTCAGGAGGATTGCTGAGGAAAGTATGGATAGGTGTGGAAGGTATATTGGGCCCGTACTACTGAAAGCACATGATCCATACTCGAATCGGTGAGAGTCTTGCAGAATCTGAGAAGCTTCGGGGAGGAGTTTGTGACCCGGTTTGGGGGCAGAGTATGTTCCAGCTGTTGCAGCTCATCCATTGGCAAGTGAGCTAGCGAGCATGACCGGGTGTCATACCCTGGAGGATACGACTTCCAAAGTCTATGGATGTGAGATCGATTTGGAACACTTTGAGAAGAGAGGGTCGTGCCAGATGCATATAGTAGAGGGTCCGGGGGAGAGACCCAAGACTTCTGATCATCGGGTGAAAGGCCAGCAGGGCTGGAGTCAGTGCAACACGTATGAGAAAGTACACAAGGGAGTTTGACATTCCAGGGGTTTAGCCTACTACAAGTGTAGCGGGGTAGGCCATGTCAGCAGAAGGAGTCAGGCCCTGTAGTTTCAGACATGAGAAGTCAGAACTCCAGCAGGCAATGTTGCGGGTATGTAACCTTGCCTTCTTTCAGTTTTATCTGTACATTGTTGTGGGAATGGTGCTGTTGTTTGGGATACTGTAGCAGGATGAGTAAGTGTATCCTTGGTTTACTTCCTTGATCCTGTTGGGTTAGACCACAAATATCATCATATGCCAATTGCATACCGTGAATTACTAGAGGTTAGTGTAAGATCGTTTCCTTTTGCTGGTTCGGGGTGTTTAGTGTTCTCTCTGTGCATAGTACAGATTTGTCGCGGGGAAATTAGGGGCTCATCTGAAGCCCAAAGCCTGTGTATCCTTAGAATTCTTCAGGAAGGAGGATCCTATTGTTAGTTCCTGTCATCGAGATTAGAAGGGAGTTTTGCACCATGATCTCAGGATGGTCGGAGTATCTCTGGAGAAGGTGATCAGGATTCCTTCGGATATTACGGATGTGTTATTTGCTGCTGCTTACAAGTAGATATCTGGAAATTGTACCACTTGGGAATTTTGATTGAGTTTGGACAAGTCAGATCTCAAGTCGGTTCTCTGCTACTGTCTGGGTTATCAAGGATTTTCATATGCCAATCTGCATGCCAGAAAGTCCTTGATGAACCTACAGAGGGACGTATCTTGCGAAGTGGGTTCCGCGTGTACCGTTATCATTTCGGATCTTTGTCGAGATCTATGCAAGAGTGTTATTTAGAGGATATTACGTCAGGGTTAGAGCGATAGATCTCTAGTGAAGTCAGAGTTAAATGGTTCTATCATTTGTTCGTGTATGGTTGACAACTGCTTAGGGAAGAACCTTGGAGTTCAAGGCACTATCGTTGCTAGGAAAGGACTGGTAGTATGAAGATAGTGGAGTCAGTTGCGAGTGTAGACGCATGGGCGTTTGGTCATTGAATATTCAAGAGAATTGTAATTCTCGCATGGGTTGGTCATTGAATATTCAAGAGAATTGTAATTCTCGCATGGGTTGTGTTCGGATAGAGTTCAGTGGTGCTGCAAGATTAGAGGTGGGAACGAGGATTCGTCAGCCAGGGTGAAGATTTAGACCTCCAGTAGTCAGCATGAGAGGTGGACTGAGGTGTCAGACTGGACCAGATTTCAAGAGTACTCTTCAGGATTTCAGAGGATGAGCGATCTTAGGGTTTAACTGATGATTGATCGCTAGCATTGGTAAGCACAGGTTCTCATCGGTGGATTATTAGAAAGCAAGAATGATTGGGAATCCTTCAATTCTCACGTGCCGTGAAGACTTAGTTGAATCTAAGTGGGGGAGAATCGACCAGGTACTTAGGATAAATAATAGGTGTGAAACTAGGATGAGTTTCACATCCTCGTCAGGACGAAAGGCAGTCGAGTGGCCGTCTAGGTTGAGGATTGGGTAAATTAGGAGTTTAGAAAACGTTCCAACTTTTGGTTCGTGTTTTTCCTTGACAATAGATAGCAGGTTTCAGAAACCATGTTAGGGCTCCAGTTAGGACTCAAGTTCAGTTGAGTGTTAGTTCAAGTGCGTGTTCGACCCAGTATGGAAAGTGTTGTAAGACTACCGGGGGTAGCCGTAGCATTCACTAACAGTCAGATAGTATGAAAAGTGTTGTAAGACTACAGGGGTAGCCGTAGCATTCACTAACAGTCAGATAGTATGGAAAGTGTTGTAAGACTACGAGGGTAGCCGC